CCCCAAAACCCCAAAACCCCAAAACCCCAAAACCCCTGAGATAATCAATAGTATTGAAAATCTCAATTATGGAGTAGTTGCATCACACAATGAGGTAACCACTCTAGCCTGGATGGGATTGGTACGAAATATTTAGCCTAGGATAGTTAAAGCAGGACAAAATTCTGAGAAGCCAAAGAAGGTTTTAATAATAGCTTCCCATCTCAGTGGTCGAGAGGAGCATATTAAGAAATATTTCCATTCTCCTCTTTCAGCTCAATACTATGATCTTCTAGGTTCTCTTCAAACTCAATAATTTTAGATAAGTTGCCTTTCTCACTCAGTTTCTTCACCTTAGAATCAGCAGATTTGTTGAGGTTCTTAAGAATTGCGCTATCATCTAAGCTTTTCCTGAGAGATTCTGAATGCTTCTCCTCAAGAGTCCTTGCTCGCTTAAGTTTGTCTACACTATCAGAGCGTTTCAAATAGTTCATTGTCTTGATAATACCCAGCATCTCATCTGTCATGCTTGAATTAGACATTTTATCTACAAGTTAAGCTGAAGGAAATACCAAAATTGATATCACTGGAGTTTAACTCGACTGAATTCTCAATACTAATATTATTCTTAGACAACGAATTAACGTTGATGGAAGACTCATTGCCCCAATTCGGCTGGGTGAGTATCTTCTTCCCTCGCTTTCTCATTGCTAACCGCTTGCGGAAGTTTTCTTCCTGCTTAATAAAATCCCTCTCAACTGCTTTCTGGCTGTTCTCTAATGCCCTAGTCTGCTTCTGGACTGGGTTATACTCCGTTAATACCTCTCTTTGCTTTTCTTTCTCTATAAATGGATAAATTTTTTAAAAAATTGGAATTATCAAAATAGACCAATTTAGTACCTTTATCTTTATTTAGCATATATAACTGCATCTTCATCTGAGCCATCTTTTTGGTTGCCTTAGCAGTAGGCTTCTTCTTTGGACTGGCTATCTCAGCTGCTGTCCTTAATGCATTCTTGATCTTGTGCTCATAGAACAGAGTTGTGTCATCATCATTCATGGTGTCATAATAAGAAACTGCTATGGAGTAATATCCAAGCAATTTGGATAATTCTTCATGTGATAACTCATTATTTTGCCAGCCTTAGCTCAAATTCGAGCACTGTCTTACTAAAATCAGCAGGAAGAGAGATCTCCTGGTAAAGGGATTTGGAAGAAGCGACTCGAGCCATCTAGACTATGTTGGGGTTCAATATTTTATATAATAATTGGGGTTTTGGGGTTTTGGGGTTTTGGGGTTTTGGGG